TGCCCCCCCGTCCACTTTTTCCGTCCCCCTTCCCTTCGTCGCTGCTGCTTCCCTCCTCCCTCCCTTTCCTTCTTTCCCTGCTTGCTGCATCCCCCCTCGGCCCTCCTTGACCTGGGCTGACGATGAGCGTTCGTGAGTCCTTGAGCCCTCGAGTCCTCAGAGACGCATTCGCTCTCGACTCTCTTCCAAGGAACTGGCCTCGGGCGCCCACAAAGTGCCCGATCTCACGGCAGTCGCGCGCGTCTGAGGAAAGGGGCGCCACGTCGTGCTTGACAGAGGCCAACGTACTTGAGGAATCGACGGCGTCGGTGTAGCCACCACCCTTCGGAGCAACTCCACGGAAGCCGCCCCCGCGGGGGCGTGTCGAGCGGGTGCGGCACTGGGCTGCTGGAGCAAAGCCCGCCCGTCCAGAGAGTGCCGGGTCGACTCCGCCATCTTGGAGGTCAGGCCGAGGGTCGCTTCGCGCTGGCCCCCGTCTCGCGAAGCCGTTGCCCGCCCATCCAAGCGAGTGCACCAGTAGCCTTCGTCACGAGCGCGGGGAGCACCTCGCGCTTCCGCTCCTTGCGCTGCTGCTTCTCGGAGCGGCCGACACGACACGCTGGGTCAACGTGCGAGACGGGGGGCGGGAAGGGCCGCATCCTTCCGAGGGCCGCCTGGCAGGGCCGTCCCCGACGCCGGTCGGACCGCAGTCTGGGGACTCGTGACTGCGGCCCGCCTCCCTCATCCTGGCTTCTCCGTGGGCGGGCCTCGCCCTCCACGAGCCCTCCCGCGTCCTTCGCGCCCTCGTCCGCGGCCTCGACCAGCAACGCGGCCACCTGCGACGTCGCCTCCAGCTTCGTCGTTCAGTGCGGACTCCTCTGGCACCGTACCCAGGCGGCCCAGCACCCTCCGGCGATCTACCTGGTTGTCATGTCAATCGCGATAACGACGGATGCCCCCAGAGCGGAGACCAGGATCTACAGCCTCAAGTCCAGACGCGACGCCCTCGCATGCGTTCGCAAACTTCCACTTTGGTGCCAAGTGCCCGCTGTACGCGTCGATGCTGGCTACCAGCCTGCGGCCCAGCCGTTCGGCGTTTGCCTGGAACGGTAGGTTCAACTGGTCGTGGGTAGCTGAAGGATGCAGCGCTTTCACGATCGCCTGCAACTCATCGGTCACGCAGCCCATCTTGCCTATGTTCTTGTCCTTCAAGAATTCGACCAACCACCTTTCAAGATCTCCGTGCTTCCGCTCGGCGTGCAAGAAGGGGTGGCTGAGGTAGGTGGGGCCCTCGATGTCCCGACTGTCCAAGGGCTCCTGGGCCATCTCCGAGGTGAACCTTCTAAAGCTCTTATAACGTCGTCCACACTCGTCGTAGTATATCCCCAGTGCCCTACCATCCTCACCACCTGAAGCGTCGTCGCTCGCCTGAGCTGATCAACCCTTCTCCAGCAAAGTGGACACCCCCTTGAAGCCAAAAGGAAGATCGGCAGGAGGAGTTAGCGGGGGCAGATCGGGGACGGCAGCAGGTCAAGGCTCTTCTCTCCCCACTCGTTCGTCCACGACCCGTTGGGCCTCCGCCCTCAGACCTCGCACGCCACGCTGCTGGCAGTCGGCAGTGGCATCCCGCTTGACGAAGACCACCCTGAGGAAGTGGCCACCCTCGATCGCGAAGCCGACCCCGACGCTGAGGGTGATGCCGCCTTGCCTCAGGCTCGATGGGGTCTCCATACTGGTACTCATCGCCACCCACACCGGCGACCACCCACGCATGACCAGCGGGAGGCCATGGCGGGGGCGTCGCAGTACAAGAGTCATCAGGCGGCCCGTCGGCCGACACCAGCTCCCCGCCTCCCGCGGCAGGCCCCTTGAGCGGGACCCCCCCGGGTCGGGACCACGCTGGCTCCCGACGAGACCACCCTGGGGCCGAGCGGCGCGGTGCAGCCCCGGCCGCAACAGGCCTCGAGGCACGTCGCAGTGCCGCCGTCCCCGAGCAGTCGCCAGCCCGGAACTCGCAGAGGTGCCCTCCGAGGGCCCAGGTACTTCAGCCAGCCTCGTCCATCGCCACGAACTGCTCCGCATCCTCCTTACCCTCGCTGTCGGGGGGGGGCCAAGAGGGGGGCGTCCAAGAGGGGGGGGCGCAAATCATGGCCAGCGCCACGTGCGCGGCCCAGGGGGGGGCCAAGGACGTAATGAGATAAGAAGAGGCGCCATGATATGTGGGGAAATATCATGGCCCACGCCAGGATATCCACCCCCACCTGGTCATCCCCCCCTCTTTGCCGCCCCCGACGCTGCTGAGCCCGACCGCATCCACCGGCACCAGCCGGCCCTTGCAGCACCCCCTCGTGGCAGAGGGTCTCCCCCAATTACCCGCCAGGCGCAAGAGTGACCCTGGGTAGGAGTGACCTCTGGTGAGCAGCTCCTGGGGGCGCGAGGGAGCCCAACCCAGGGGCGCGGGCCGCTTCTATCGCACCGCGCGCGGCGATCGGGGGGAGGATGAGGAGGAGGAGGAGGAGGAGGAGGAGGAGGAGGAGCCCGCACCAAAGGTCACTCCAGCGAAAGGTCACTCCTACGTGTAATCGGAACTGCGCCTCTGTGCGTCCGCCCGGCCGGGCGGCCAAGGGCAGCAGCTCGCGCGCGAGCGCCGCGGCGCCGAGGCGGGCCTGCCGCGCCGGTCGGGGCAGCTCCCGGCGGGCAGTCGCGCCGCCATGCAGGCTCCGAGCCAATCGGCTACACGCAAGAGCGGCCCTGGGCAAGAGTGGCCTCTGGCGCGCGGCTTTTCGGGACCGCGGGTGGGCCAAAACCAAGCGCGCAGGCCGCCGCTACCGCTTCGCTTTCAGCCATCTGGGGGCCCATCCGTGCCCGCACCAGAGGTCTCTCCGGCGAAAGGTCACTCTTACGCCTCGTCGAGCCAACGCCGCGCCAGCGTCACCGATGAGCGCCGAGGCCAGGTGCCCAGCCAAGGCCCTCGCTCTCCTCCGCGCCAGGCGGGTCACTCCGGCGAAAGGTCACTCTTACGCCTCGTCGAGCCAACGCCGCGCCAGCGTCACCCATGAGCGCCGAGGCCCGGTGCCCCGCCAAGGCCCCCGCCCTCCTCCGCGCCAGGCGGGCAGAGAGAGGGCAGAGCACGGAGGGCGGCGGGGCAGCTGGGCGGATCGGCCTGTCGGGCGCCGCGCCCGCGAGGCTCTGGAGGCTGACCGTCGGTCCGCCTGCTCGCTGGCCTCCCGCTGCTTCGTCAGGAGATGGGAGCAGCAGCAGCAGTCCGAGGGCCCGCCAGGCGCGCATCGCAGACTCTGATGACAGAGGAAGTCGAGGCTTGAGGGCGAATGATTTTGGGCATGGAGGGGGAGATTGAACAGGGACCCGGACGCCCGAAGGACTTGGGCACGTCATCTTCGTGCTGCGTACACCGATGTGCCAGCTTCCTAGAAGTCTCTTTAAACACACCTGGGCCAATCTCTGCTGCCAACGCTAGAGCAGTGGACGTGCTCAAGAAGCTGGGCGCCAGCTTTCCGGTGAGATAGTTCAGAAGCGCTGGCGCAGCTTTTCGGGAGGATGTTTCTTAATCAGATGCTCGACTGTAGCACCACGGCGTACAGAAACAACGTTGGGGAGAAAGGCCAGCCGGGATGGTCCAAAGTCTGAGCTCCCGCGTGGGCAAAACAGGTTACAAGAGGGCAGATGGGCAAAGCAGGCAACCCCCAAGTGACGCAGTGAGGGGGGGTGTCCTCCTCCTCCTCCGCCTTCTCCTTCCCTTCCTCCTCCTCCAGCTCCTCCTCCTCCTCCTTCGCCTCAGTGAACCGACACCCGAACCTTTCCTGGGATGCGTGCTGGCCAAACTTTTGCTGAGGGGAGTCCAACCGGGGCGACGAGGGCGCCCCTCCGAGGCGCAAGAGGAGCGAGGTACAGCAGACTCCCTGCTGCGAGGAGCTGGGGGGAGATGAAGGCGAAGAGGAGGAGGAGGAGGAGGAGGAGGAGGAGGAGGAGGAGGAGGAGGAGGAGGAGGAGGAGGAGGGGGGGGAGGAGGAGGGGAGGAGGAGGAGGAGGGAGGAGGAGGAGGAGGAGGAGGAGGAGGAGGAGGAGGAGGAGGAGGAGGAGGAGGAGGAGGAGTGGAGGAGGAGGAGGAGGAGGAGGGAGGAGGAGGAGGAGGAGTGAGGAGGAGGAGGAGGAGGAGGAGGAGGAGGAGGAGGAGGAGGAGTGTAAACCCAAGAACCACCAACGATGTTGGAGCAAGCCCTCCCCCCAAGCTCCCTCGTCGCAGGCCCCATCCAACGGTGCACTTCCACAGAGGGACCTGCCTCGTTGGAGGACCCTCTGAAGACCCTGAAGCGTGCCAAAACCATATCCCCGATATTCCAACGCCAAGGATAAACTTGACTGTTGCGTCTTGACAGTCCTGAATCGTGCCATCGTAGCTGTTGCGCCTTCATAATCGTGAACCCGTCCAAAGCACCATTTCTGGTACATCTATCATGGGAAGCCATAAAACTCGTACAACTGTTTTGCAACAGTGTGCGCGGCGCTAAGGCGAGAGCCGCATGTTGAAAAGGAGCCGCCCCCAATCCGCGAAGCCTATGCAATCTGTTACCAAGAGTGCCCGCGGCGCTAAGGCGAGAGCCACATTTTGAAAACGACCCGCCTTCAATCCGTGGAACTCTTGCAAAGTTTGAAAACGAATGCGCGTGGCGCGAAGGCGAGAGCCACATTTTGAAAACGGCCCAAATGCGTGAAGCTCTTGTAAATTTTGAAAAAATGAATGTGCGCGGCGCTGGGGCGGGAGCTGCATTTTGAAAACGACCCGCCTTCCATCTGTGAAACGGTTACCATGTTTAAGCTTCAGAATCAGAAGTGGCGAAGAAATCTCAGGCGAAACGCCCGGCCCTGGGTGCGACAGGGAAAAATTAGGTGTAAGGAAAAGGAATGGAGGAGGGCCAGCAGCAACAGCAGCAGCAATAGCAACAGGAGACGGCGGAGGAGGGCATTGCAGGGGAGTGCATGCAGCCCCCTTCCCCTCGGAC